GTGTGTGTGTGTGTGTGTGTGTGTGTGTGTGTTTGTGTGTGCCTGTAAGTGTGTGTGTATGTTGTGTGTGCGTCTGTCTGTGTGTCACGAAATTCATAGCGCCGGTCCCAGTAACAGTGAGACATTGATTTCAAGAAGTGATGTAGGCGGTGTGATGGGAACACAATTGGTGGGTGACAGGAAGTGATATCAGCTGATAAGATACGATAAGAGGCGTTAGAAGGAGGAGGTCACCATATTATAACGCGGGTGACAGCATCAGCCTGCTCTCGATCTCAAGATATGATATAGAGGATAGTCCAAGAACATCATTAGTGGGTCACAAAAACTGTAAGCTGCTGATAAGATTCGATAAGGGGCGTTAGAAGGAAAAGGTTACCATATTCACAGCGCAGGTCACAGCAGCAGTCAGCTCTTGATTTCGAGATATGATATAGGATGAGGGCCAAAATCATTATTGGTGGGTAACAAGATTTGTGAGCTGCTGATAAGATTCGATAAGGGACGTTAGAATAGTCAGGTCATCGTATTCATAGCGCAGGTCACAGTATCAGCGAGGCGTGCCTTTCAGCAAGTGATATAGAGAGTGAGTTGGGAACATCAACCGTGGGTGACTAGAAGCGATAACTACTGATAGGGGCTGATAATGGAGGTTGCAGTCGTCGTCGCTGTTCAAGGCGGTTCACGCTTTCAAATCATAGAGATTTAGTGATGAGGACATTGATGACGGGTGACACAATAACTATGAAACGTATATCCCACGGGCGTACAGAATGCATATAGTGCATATAAAACAAAAGATCAATACAACCCCCACTTTTCTAGGAGAAAAAATCAACTATCGAAATAAATTTGTCTTACCCCACCCCAAATACGACCCCCTCCTCAGAGCAAAAGTGCCTCATGTGTTTCACACAAGGATGCTGTACCCTGTCTGTGTGTTGTATGGCCGTTATGGCGCGGACCGCAAGTATAAGCGTTTACTATGGAACGCAGGATCCGCAGGGTTGCTCTATCTGTCATGATTGTACCAATACAGAGCTGTATGAGCAACGCAGTGATTGAAAGAGTTCCGTTCCCCATTATGGAGCGCGCCTGGCCAGCTCGGCGAAGCCGAGCTAAAGAGAAGGAGGAGAGCTCGGCGTCAGCCGGGCGATCCGACTGGTATATTATATGCAGTAATTGACCCGTGAGGATATAACGAATAAACCGACTCAGACAAAGTGTCGAAACAGATTTGAATTTGGATGGATTTCATACGCTAAAGAAACCCCGCTGCTACAGAGCCAGGGCACAGCACCGTTGTGTGGAACACATGGCGTTGTACTTGTCTCTGGGAGGTGGGAGAGTCGTATTTGGTTGGAAGAGGAGAGTTCGTATGTGCCTTTGAGAGACCCCCACCCCCTCCTCCACTCGACGGAAATTTTTTGTGAAAAAACTGGAAAATGAGGGAAATTTGTGGGTAGGTGTTGGGGAAGGGAAGAAGGGTCGTACCGAAACCCTCATTACGGGGAGGGGTTAGGACTGACACCGTTCTTCAGAAGGGGGGGAGCCGTACCTACACCACCAACTCGCACATAATAATGCTGTACCCTGAGTCATGTTGACCTGGAGAGCATCGATCGGTGCCGATCGATACTCACAGTTCAGCTTTTCACACAGCATTGCAGGTTGTTTCTTTTGACAGCGATACACTTGTTCAAAAACAACTAGTTAGCAAGACACAAAGAAAAAATGCGATAAGCAAACCTGATGTTGGGGCAGCCTCAATGGAGGAACTGTAGAATAATCAAAGTTCTTAATCCAAAAATGACTAATAGCATCTTTTGCAGAAATTCGCCGTTTTGGATCGAGAAGTAGCATCTTGTCCATAAGGTCTATAGCTCCAGACGGCACCAATCTGAAATGGAAACATTTTCAGAAGCTTGGTAGTTCCCCTTTCGCAGCAATCTGAAGTCATCCTAATAAAAGCGCGCTGCTTCCTTCAGTAGGAAATGTTGAGGACCATCTGCGTTCAGCTACGTGAATACGAAGATTAAGTCTCCTGCGAACTGAAAGCGTATTCCGAGAGGGCAATGTTGTGGTACTGCGGCTCAAAAGCGAAATAGTAATTGCTACGAGGCCCCAGGTGAAGAAAAAAAAACCGTCAAGGCTAACGAAGAGCTGCATAAAGTGAAATCAGCCCTCGGTCCTCACGCTTACTCACCTTCCAACCATACAATAGACACAAAGGCAAACAGTCGTTGGCACGGGTCGCTGCGACCTGGTTTACATAAGAGAGAGAATCGATTCAGCAAATCATGGAACGCGCTTTCGAGGCATGGTGGAGTCGCTTGGCATAATTTTCGAAGGAAATTCACTCATTATCGAGAAAACTTGAAAAAAAATGGAAGAGGCTTAACACAGCATAAAATCAACTCACTGAGCAAACTCTTCCCGAAGACATCTGACGTACTGCTTCTTACTCCTCAGTGTATTGAAGAGGGGCATCTTCTCTACATCTGGCCAATTTGCTGGACTGGGAGTTCCACATACCTAAATAAATCCCAATCAAGGATTCCCTAGTTTAACAGACAAAGAAGTACTGTACCCTTGAGATAAGATCCAGTTGCGCAGCTTCGTTATTCCCTTGAAATAGGGGTTTCCTCGTGAAAAACTCGCCAAGTATGCAGCTGAAATATTACTTACCATTAGCCTTTAGATGATCTCAATTTCGGATGAAACAGATTATAGTAGTAAACAGGTTATTTATAGTAGTGACCAACCCAATGCTCCAAACATCAATCGCTGGACCGTAGTGCTCGTCACCAAGCAAAAGTTCTGGTGGTCGATACCACAGAGTGATCACTCGATTCGTGTATAAACGTTCCTGATCAGACGAGTAATATCTCGCAAGACCAAAATCAGCTATTTTGAGCTCTCCTCTGCAAACAAGAGATGGTTAGAACTCTCCTCGCCCGCAAAAATGAAAAAGCCCCTATGTGGCTCTATAGAATGAGTCTGAATGTTCATTCTCACTACAATGGACAAAACGCTCAATGATCTCGTCAATGAGGCTTCGCAAACAAGTCCCGTGAAGACCTTTTCAGAAAGGCCATGTGACCCCTATAAAAAGGCCTTCACGGGGCCACCGGACCGCGGAACTGCTTTTTCAAGGTCATGGAACTCGCTTTTCGGGCTTGCGGAGTGGGTGACCTACTCAGCAAACCCGAAAAGTTGGAATGTGTCAAGTCACAGCAGCCGTGGAACGCCACGACGATGAGACAGCGCAGAGAAACGCAGAAAGAGACAAAGTTTACTGAGACAGCGCAGAGAAACGCAGAACGAGACAAAGTTTACAACTGCCAGGAGGTCTTTGGGAGGTGAATGAGTCCGCGGCTGCAGTAGCCACTTTCTCCGCTCAAGTGCACGAGAACGGAGCTGAGGGGTTGCGATACCTGAAAGCCTCTACTTACCCCACCTGCGCTATCCTCGAGGTGCAGCAGTTCCGTCGATATTAAGAACTCGTAGTGAAACACGCACTTAGCAGCGCTCAGGAACGGGGCTGGTGGATAGTGATACCCAAGTGCCTTTTCGGATCGCGCCCGCGCTCCGCACGGACGCACGTGCTTAACCATAGCCAAGCGCGCTTCTTGTCCGCGCCTTCTCACCACTGATTACTCTACTACTACTGCTACTACTACTTCAATAGTACTCTGATAGAAAACCTTAACATTGTTTTCAAATCGATTATTCTTTGAAAAAAATGGTGAGAAGACAACTTTAGTCGACTTCGAAGGTGTAAAAGTCCTCTACAATCAAAAATAACTTTCTTTCATTACCACAATCGCATGATGCTGAAGTCTAATTAAAACAATTTCCTCAGTGGACTTTGTGGGAATAGAACTGAAAACATTTCCAAGGATTGCTCGAAATTCGATTGGAATTATCGCGTCTCACTATTTCTTTTTTCAAAGAATAATGGGTTTAGAAGCATTGTCAGGGTCCTCCATCGAACCTACATCCCTACACACATTGAGCTCTCTTAAAGATATTACAAATGCGTCTGGGATACAGATGTGATTCCTCCTTATGAATTCATACCTGATTAAGCCTAATTAAGCTAAACGCAAATGTTTTTCGTGGGCTCACTGTAGTGTGCCTATGCCTCACCGGCCAGCATCGTTCCTACGCACCACTCATCTCTGAAGGGTTCGCTGACACCCTGAGGCGATAGTCCAAGCTCCGAGAAAAACTGGAGTCGAACTGGCAGTTCAGAAATGACCAGCAAAAAAAAACAGGTTCGCCATATGGCCAACGTTCACAGCCTTTCGAGATGGCTGCAGAAATTGCTCTGATAGTTCATGTCAACTGAGTACCAGGCCAGCTTTTTTTCGCATGTTGTGCGGCCAATATAAATTAAAAATTCTCTTTCTCGGCTATAACGGCTCTCCTTCGTGCTCGCTAATCTAAAGGTGAAGGAACCTTTGTCGTTTAATGTGAAGACCCTATCTCACCCCTGTGATTATTTTTTCATCTAAAGTACTTTTTTTCCGATTTTTGCTGTTTCGCCTCCTTAACAGTATATATTTAGAGCATACGTTCATTTTCGAATTGAAAAGGACAAATCATAACAAAAGAAATACCTGTTATTCAGAAGAATATTACTGCATTTAATATCTCGATGCAAAAACCCGGCAGCATGACAATATTCAAGACCCTGAAGCACTTCAACGTTCAAAACTCGCTTTAAAGTGAAAAAAGGAATGACGCCACACCGCAAGACAACTATCGTCTAGTAGCTGGGAAAAAAAGAGCAATTAGCACTTCCAACTACTACTCCTGTACAAGCTTGAGCAAAAGAAACTGGATAGTGGCTCATTAAATAAAAACGGAAAAGCAAAACACGCACCAGAATCAATTGTTTAAAAAGGCTTCGTATCTGATCATTGTGAAAATTGACGAGATGTGAGGCTTCCAACAACCCCATTAGATCGTGATCCACATATTCAAACACCAAATAGAAATTTGCTGAAATTATCAGTACTTGAACAATTTTTTATCATCTAACAAGCATAATCTATTGTACAACGTACCTCTTTCTGTACGCATATCAGCTGCGGACAGTTTATCAGTAACAATATCTACCAGCTTTACAACATTTGCATGATTAAGTTGCCGCAATATTTTGATCTCACGCACGGCAGTGATAGGAAAACCTTCCTTCTCGTTCTCCAACCTCACTTTTTTCAACGCTACTTGTTCACCTGAAAGTTAGTGTAAAATCAGTTATCGTTTATAATTCTAAACTTTTAGGCAAACTGCATTATCCACAAACGATAGAAAACCAACCAGTTATTTTATCCCTTGCTTTATATACTTGCCCGTAGGTGCCTTCACCAACTTGATATAAAATTTCATATTTTTCAACAAAACCGCTTCCCCATTCCTGTGAGAGATCGATGTCCCTTCGAACCTTATTGAGTACTCTGGAAAAAGTAACCTCGTATCAAGAAGACCAAACGAATTACAAAGCGGAACATACGTCGGGCGATCGAATCCTCTTTTCTTTAGACCGGAGACATTTGGGATCGGAAGAGCAGACCGCGAATGCGAAGTCGAGCAACTCGGACCTGACCCAGAAGGTACTGTTTGGTCGACGTTCACTTCAGAGGTAACGGATCCTGGAGGTGGAAGCGGAGGAGGTGGTGCAGGTTCGAACGGAGGCGGTGGGAGAGGTGGCAAAGGAGGAGGAACAGGTATGCTGCTAAGAGACAGAGACATGATGGTCGCAGGTGGCGGAACGGCGATATTCTGAAAAAGTTTATTTATATTCATCGAAGGACTTCCTCTTTGGAAAACAGGAAACTATATTTAGAGACAATAAAAAAAAACATGAAAAATTAGACATTACCCTGAGCATGGGTCTTCCTCAACTACTGGAATTAGTCAGAGAGCCCAGATGACCACATTATCACAGAACACTCGGATCGCCGGCGTGTACTGGATCGATGCTCCTCCCACTGGAGGCGGGCCACAGCACACCTCAGATACATCTAACTCTCCTAAGATGTTCCTTTACCCCAAAATTTTTCTCTAGTTCACAAAACGTCTCGTAACTAAGTTATGAATTTTCTAGCAAGCGCCGCCCATCTAGGTCACGCCCCTCCCACTGTTGTGTCTCCCCCATATTGTTCTCCTCCCGCTTCTAAGCTCTATCCTTTTTTGCCAGTCTGTGACCTGCTCTCAAATTGAATTGCAGATTTTCGCCTATGGTACCGTTCACTTTCGGAGCGCCGAACCTGCCCACGGCGGTCAGGGGTACACAACTTCATCTCCTACGGTTTAGCTAGGAGATGAAGTTGTGTTCAGTTGCATACTGGTTTTAGTTATTTAGTTGTGTTGTGTTTTATTTGTTGGTTGTGCCCTGTCACGCCAACTGAATAAATAAATAAATAAATAAATGTGGTCCCATGCACTACCTATACCATCCCTGTCCCGATCTCTCCAACTGCTTCTAGGTATGGGTGAACAAACAAGCAGACGTAGCAAATTGTTATAGTAGGCAATCACCAACAGAAGGGGACAGGCCTGGTTAGATTGAGTATATACCTAATTTTCAGGAGTACAGGGTGAGTTTCGCAGCGTTGCACGCGAAAACGCGCGCGACAAGTTGGCACATACAGCAATAGTCTTCCTGTCTTTTATCCCATAGTTTCATCTTTTAATGGATTTTCGAACACCTCTTACTGGCCGATCATTAATATGGATAAGTGGCTTTCAGACTTTGCGATGATCGACGCGCTACAACTGCAGGAGTCTTTCGATTCTATAGACGTGACATAGCTGCAGACGATAACTGGTCGGCGTTTGCTGCTCGTCTTTCAAGACAGTATACGATAACAGGTGTTTGCCTTCACACGAATGGTACTCTCCCTCTTAAAACGCTCGCAAAGCCCAAGCGGCCAGACCCGATCGATACCAAACCGGCAACGCGTACTTTCTTATTACCCGTAATCACACAATACACGAGCGGCCAGCGCCGACCGATCCTCGTCTGTGGCTGCTTTCGCATCTATACCCTTGGAGCGCTCTTACAGCAGCGGCGCGTTGTCGCGCGTCGATACGCGACATTGGGAAGCCTGAACGCTGCCTAAGAACAAACAAAAAAAAATTTGCAAAACTGAAGGAATGAGGAGACATTTGCGGCATGTTGCAACATTGGGCCTTACACATGGATCGAATTAACAATTCAGGCTGAAGCTATATTAGGCCTCATAATGATGCCGAGTACCGAAGCACAACTCAAAATTGATGAGAATTTTCAGTCAGTTTTTTCATTTGCAATATTCACAGTAACATGTTTGCAGCATATAATGACTAAAGACATAATCGTCAGAAAAAACCGTACCTTTGTATCAGTAGTGCACGGCGCACCGGGTACAGGAGGAATCGGAGGAGGAGGTAGATGCATACCAGATATGGTTGGTGGAGGAGGGACGGCAACCGGAACAACGAGCCCACTTGCAGTGATCTAAAGCAGTTCGTTTATTTAAACTCGATACTGCTTAGTTTTCAGAGGCTAGTGAAAGGTGCGATGCTCGGAAAGTATTCTGACTCCGTAAAAAGAACTGACAACATACCAACTGATAATATTGTGCAGTTGCCGGATCAAGGAATGTCGGAGGAGGGCATGCAACAGGCATCGAAATAGGCACTGTGGCAGGTTTCTTGTCAATATTTTTTGTATCCTGAAAATTCATGAAGTAACATGAGAAATGGTGTAAAACGACATGAAATGAAGAGAATCGCTCGTTTGCACCTCAACATTTTTCCTTTGCACACTTGCCGGCCAATTTCTTTAAAATGGTGAAGCGTCAGCAAATCAAAGCCGACAGGCAAGATTTAGCAAAAATTTCAAAATTACACGTTTTGAATTTGCGTGT